GCAAACAATTGCATCGCGTTGTGTAGGTGTGTGTGTCTGTGTGTGTGTGTGTGAGCTCGCTCGCTGCCGGGGTTAATGCGAGACTACTCTATCGGCTCGGGCCGCTGCTGGAGTGTGCTATGCGTTCCACCTGTCTCGTCGCCACACTGCTGTATGGTCCCAACCCCCGCCTCGAGAGGGGTGCCCATCTAGAAAAAAATTGTGTACCGCGGATTGCCAGAAACTGATGATTACCATACCTGGTGATAATCTGTTGTTTTATCTGGTGATTACCAGCATCTGTGTAGACCTGATTAACCGCAGTTGGGCATCCCTCGCCCGCATAGGCTGGACCCCGTGCGATGCAAACAACACTGGGGTTGGCAACCGAAAGCGTATCTGACGAGTATGACATGCCGCGGATCGAGGCTCTGGGGGTTCCTAGTTGCATTGCGTCACGGACTGCTGGGCGTGGCGCGGCGTGGCGCGGCGGGCGCGCCCGCTCTCCACCAGATGGATTGGAGACGGTGGGGGCGGCCTGGGCCTGGGGGCGGCGCGCGCGGCTCACTGTCCCTCCGGGAGATTATTTTGTAAAAGGGCGGCTCTGCCTCGACAGTTGCACACTACTTGTCGTTGTTCAGCTTTGGGTGGCGAGGGCGGGCGTTAGCGAGGCTATTCTCTGGTCCAGAGGATTCCGGGTAACTTGCTGCTGCTCGCCCGGTGCTTCACGGGAGAGTTTTGCCTTCTTTTTCCAGTTCCAGGAAAACTGAAACGAACAAAAAAATAATAAAAAAGGACGACGTGACTCTCTATAACGTAGAGGACGCAATGACTGAGAAGTGGGGGGGGGGGGGGGGGGTACTCATGCGAGCCGACACAGGGCAGAGGGAGGCGGGGAGGGGTCGACGACGACCCTGGAAGAGGAGCCTCCCGCGGGCCGCAGGCGGCCGCAGGGGGGAGCACAGGAGAGGGTAATCGTCATTTTGTCGACGTGCCGCGCGTCTCAATGAGCGGTTGTCGGGGTCAGTGAGTGAGGATTGTAGCGCGGCGTGACGTCACCGCACTGTGACACGGTGACACACTGCGGCCCGTGTGCCGGCACGGCGTGCGGCCCCACTAGAGCCGCCGCCGGGAAACCGTCTGCAGAGCGTCGCGACGCCCGCCCCGCCTCGCCCCGCCCCGCTCCGCGGTGGATGTTGTGTGCAGCGGCGGCGGACCGCGGGTCCTGAACCAGTGCGGGGGAGGAGGAGGGGGAGCTGCTGCAGTGGCAGCTGCATCCTGCTGCCCACCACCAGCACTATCTCAATCGCCCCCCCCCCCTCTCTCTCTCTCCCTCTGAACATCTCTATAGTGTCGCAGCATGCGCTGAGTTTACCCTGCTGCCGCGTACCACCTCTGCGCGGCAACATCAACCCCCTCTGCAGC